TCTCGTCCTGACCGAACTGTTAAGGTTGGGACGACTGCTTTTACTGAACTTGGTGCAAATTTGCACCAACTCTTGAAGGACTTCAAAGACATCTTTGCCTTTGAAGTGGACGAGATGCCATGCATCAGCCCGGATCTTGCCGTACATAAACTTGCTGTGGATCCTAAAAAGAAGCCGGTAAGACAAAAGAAAAGGAACCATGGCGAGGAAAGAAGCCAGGCGGCTGCCGCCGAGGTTAAAAAGCTTTTAGAAGCTAAGTTCATTCGGCAATGCTACTTCCCTGACTGGGTTGCCAACGTTGTTCTAGTAAAGAAGCCGAATGGAACTTGGCGCATGTGTGTGGACTACACAGACTTGAACAAGGCATGTCCAAAAGATAGTTATCCTCTCCCAAAGATTGATAGCCTGGTCGACTCTACAGCCGGCCATGCCTTGATGAGTTTTATGGACGCCTACTCAGGCTTCCACCAAATACCCCTATGAAAGAAGGATCAAGAAAAGACGGCTTTCGTCACTAATCAGGGGCTATTTTGTTATACGGTGATGCCGTTTGGTCCGAAGAATGTGCCTGCTACCTTCAAGAGAATGATTAATTCTGTCTTCTTCAATCAAATTGGAAGGAAATTGGAAGGAATGTGGAAGCGTATATCGACGATATGATAGTCAAATCCAAACTTCAGACGGACCACCTGGCAAACCTCCGAGAAACATTCTCCACACTCAGGCGGCACCATGTCATGCTAAATCCTAAAAAATGTGTCTTTGGTGTTGAGTCTGGGAAGTTCCTCGGATTTCTGATTGACCAAAGAGGAATAGAGGCGAACCCTGAAAAAATACAGGCGGTTAGAGACATGCAGTCGCCCCGCACTGCAAAGGAAGTTCATAAATTAACAGGTTGCCTGGCGGCCTTGGGAAGATTTCTCAGCCGGTCAGGCGATAAATACCTCTATTTCTTCCAGGAAATAAAAAAGAAGCTATGTTCGAATGGGGGCCGGATGCAGAGGCGGCCTTCCAGAAGTTGAAAGAACATTTGCACTCTTTGCCAAGGCTTGTCAGCCCTCTGGCCGAGGAAGTATTGTACACGTATTTGGCCGTCTCTGATCATGCGGTCAGTGCTGTTCTCCTTGCTGAAAGGGACGGCTGTCAAATCCCTGTTTACTTCATCAGCCATGTATTGAAGAATGCTGAATTACGGTACCCCATGGTTGAGAAATTTGGCATGGCCCTCTACATGGCAGTCAAGAAGCTAAAACCTTACTTCTTGACACATTCGGTCGTGGTATACACTGACCAGCCAATCAAGCGGCCCTTAACAACCATGGAGTCGTCCGGCCGGATGATAAAATGGGAGATTGAAATCCAAAGCTTGGAAATCACATTTGAGCCAAGGAAAGCAATGAAGGGTCAAGCACTTGCCGACTTCATTGTTGAAATGACCAGGCCGCTTGATCCTGGTAATTCAGACCAAGTCTGAAAGGTTTACGTGGACGGGAGTTCCACAATGACCGGCTACGGTGCAGGCGTCATATGCCAGTCCCCTGAAGGGGACAAGTATGAGTATGCATTACGCTTCAAATTCCAAGCCTTAAAGAATGAGGCCGAGTATGAAGCTCTACTAGCCGGCATCCGCATGTGCAAGGCGGCCGGGGCAAAGAAAGTGAACGCCTGTTCTGATTCACAACTGATCATAAGCCAGTACCATGGTGACAATGAAGCCACCCACCCGGCTATGATCAAGTATCTGCAGGCGGTAAAAGAAGAGGCCGAGACATTTGAAGAATTTAATCTAAGTCAAGTGCCCAGGTCTGAGAATAACCAGGCGGATGCCCTCTCCAAATTGGCATCATCCGCCTCCTGCGATGCACCAAGGTCTGTCTTCTGGGAAATAATGGAAAGGAGAAGCATCGAGGAGGATCCTATTGGAGTCCTTGATCGCAGCTCCACCTGGATGGATCCCATCCGGGCATATTTAACAGACGGCACCCTACCGGATACCTACCCAGAAATGATTGTAATGAAAAAGTGTGCATCCAACTTTGAGATTCACCAAGGGGAACTCTTCAAAAAGGGCTATCTACAATCTCTCTTGAAATGTGTTACCCCAGAAAAGGGCCGAGAGGTCCTAGAGGACTTGTATTCTGGGTTCTGCGCCTCTCATATAGGCGGCAGGACGCTTGCAAGGAAAGCTAGGCGGCAAGGCTACTTCTGGCCTACCCTAGAAGCAGACGCCATGGAGATGGTTAAAAAATATGACAAGTGTCAAAGGTTTGGCAAGCTCATCCATCGTTCGGCTACTGATCTGACGGCTATCGATAGCCCAGTACCATTCGCCAAATGGGGCACGGACATTCTAGGTCCCTATACGCCTGCTACAGGCGGACGGAGATATATATTGGTAGCAGTCGACTACTTCACCAAGTGGGTATAGGCCGAGGCAGTCAAAGTCATAAAAACTAAAGACGTCATCTCCTTTATTTAGAGAAATGTCGTCACTTGGTATGGGGTTCCCATGTCAATGGTTTTTGACAATGGACCTCAATTTGAGACGCCTAATCTCACAAATTGGTTGGGAGACCAAGGAATCTCTCATTTTTTTTCATCAGTCGGTCGTCCTCAAGGAAACGGCCAGGTAGAGGCCTTCAACAAGTTGATCTCTGATGGCATAAAAAATAAAATTGAAAAATCAGGCGGCCTATGGGCTGACGAGCTACCGCATGTTCTGTGGGCCATCAGGACGACTAAAAAAGGGGCGACTGGTGAAACCCCGTTTCTCATGGTCTATGGGGCAGAGGCTGTGCTACCAATAGAGCATTATGAGCCGACTCTTCGAGTCATGCTTTATGACGAAGAGGCCAACTGGGAAGCCATGCGCCTAGCATTGGATGAATTTCCAGAGCACAGGGGCAATGGAGCCTTGCGTCACGAGATCTACCGTCTGAGAATGACGAGATCCTATAACAGGCGGGTGCACAAGCGGCCCCTAAAAGTAGGGGACTTTGTGCTTAGAAAAATGGAAGCAGTCGGTAGGGCCAATGAGCAGGGCAAGCTGACCCCTAACTGGGATGGCCCCTACCGAATCAGTGAAGAAATCAGAGGCGACACCTATCGTTTGGAAACACCAGACGACAGGCAGCTAGCCAGAACTTGGAACGTAGACAACTTGAAAAAGTACTACTTCTAAGATATGTAAATATTGTAATTATACTTATATCAATAAAGTTTGCAAGTTATGTTATTAATTTTTTCCAAGTGTCCTTGGTAGAGCAAACCGCCTGTAAACAGTCGGCCCTTGAAGTCCCTTCTAAGGGACAGCCGCCTGTTATCAGTCGGACCTTTCAAAACCCTTATATGGGGCAAGCGCCTGCTAACAACCGGCCTTCCAACTCTCCTCTACGGGACAAGACGCCTGTTAGCAAGAAATCTTATCATTCAAACTCGAAAGAGTAGAAACGCTAAGTCTAGATAACCTAGCAACACTTTAAGGACACAGGCCGGATGATCAATCTAAGGCCCATAGCCGAATGATCCCCTAAAATTAAACAAATACGTCTGTCCCTAAACAAAGCAGGCGTCCGGCGACATCCATCCGGATGAAATTCGTCGCAGAGAGCATCTCCCATTTGGGTGACACATTGCTCTATAAACTAAAAACAAACGGCCCCACCGAGTGTCCTCCTAGAAATCTCGCAGGCGTTTGCTGTGAGACGAAGACGAACGTCCCGCCGTATTGAAAACGCGCGGTAGGCAGTTTAAGTCTAAGTCAGAAACCGACACGATATTGCTTGGGACAATACAGTCGGCTCAAGTTGAGTAAATAGCCAAGCAACACTTGGCGAATAAAGAAAAACATGTGGCCTACCCCGCTGCTTCTTCTACTCACTCAACTCAAAATTTTCTAACTCTACAAGAAACCTACAAGGTCAAAAGAGCCGACTGTTTTTTGACAAACAGGCGGCATTCGTTCACTATTCCATAAAGAGTTAGCTCGGTTACCGCATTTATATCTACAAGCGGCCCCTCCGCTTGAAAATGTTTAGCGCCTCTTTCCATATGTGAAACATTAAACGACCTAACATTTGCAAACAAGTAGAGAACAGGCGGCACAGACCGACTAATTCTCTTGTTCAATCAAAACAAATTGGCGAAGACTGATTTAACCTATTAAGGTTGACTCATATTCAATACATTGCATTAATTGGAATCTGCAAAACTCAAAAGTGGTCGCCTGGTTCCCGCAACAGGCGGCAGACGGCCACAATTCTTGTTCACTCTCGCCCTAGCTTAAGTTGGTTAAAAATTTTCCTGATTGACGCTTGTTTTACACAAAGCCCCAAGTAGAGGGATTAGTTACACCAAACTAGCCACATGGTCCTTAGCCGACTGATCTCAGTATACTGCAAAGGCCGACAGCCGAGTGATAGGAGAACGAGTGGCCTATAACTTCATTTAAAAGGGTAAGTACCGAGTTTTGCTCGGCAGTCGTCCTATCCTAATATAAGTCGTGGGCCATTGAAACTTGTGCGTACAATACGGATGAATACCCGCCTGTTCGTAACCAAATGGACGACTGGTCTTGGGCGAAACCAGGCACCTGGTATTTAGCCGACTAGACGCCTGGTTTGGGGCAATCTCCATAGTGATAGATTGACTCAGAATTAGGTATCGAAAATTCCAAGTCAATCAAACACCTTTGAAAACCAGGCGCTAGTCGCCCAGGGGCAAGAACAGCCGGTACTAAACAGTCGGTACGCTAAACATTCATGAATAAAGGCTACAAACCCTTGGCAAAAAATTCGTGAAAAGCAAAAATGCAAGCATACAACAAAATTCCAAAGAAACCGACCAAAATAGTTGAATATATGATAAAAAAAAGACGGCCGTATGACCAACTAAATGTTGAAAATATTAAAAAATTGTTGATACACCCCGACCCCTTGGTTGGGTAAATGAAACATGCGGCACGCAGGCCGAAGGAAAGTTTACAAAAAAAGCTTAAAAATCTAAGCAGGAGGTTGTGCACCAACAACCGCTTGGTCCTGACCTTCGGACCTAGACCGGGACAACTCCTTCTCCGTAATCACTACCTCCTGCTCCGGCCCCTCCTCACCAACCGCCTCCTCCTGGTCCAACTCTCCAGCAGTGGAGTCGGACTCCTCGCCCTCAGCCTCCTCATCGCCGCTTGCTTCCCCCATGATTTGTTTATTAAATTCATCAGAGCAGGCGACAAATTGGCGATCCCATTTTTCATAATCGGCATCAGGGACGAGAGCAGCCCAGGTTATCTTCATGATGGCAGTGCTGTCTTCCATCATATCCTGGACGAGAGCCGCCTTCTCCTCCTCGGCCTTCTCAGTATATTGCTGTGAGAGGTCCGCCTTTTGGCTGGCCAGGTGGCCCTTGAGCTTGTTAACCCGCTCGCGGAGTCCCTCGGCCTCTTTGTCTGAATCCTTTAGAGGCGCCATTTCCTCTTTGAGGTCTTTAACGGACTGCTCCAGCTCCAAGATCTGTTTCCTGGCCGCCTCTAAGTCCTTTTTGACCTGCAAAGTGGTCGACGCCTGATAATACAGAATGTCAGTTGTTAAGACCTCATTTTGTGCTATTTGAAAAATAGCCTTAATAGGGTCAGAGGCGGCCATGGCCTTCGCAGCTTTTACCTCTTTGTTTTTGTCGTTTATGGGCTTGCTGAGGCCGTACACTCGCAGCATGGACTGCAGTCGGCAAAAAGAACAGCCGTCAGAAAAATAGGCGGCTGGGGGTTAAAACAAAAAAGAAAAAAATTGTTTCAAGTGTACCTCGGCGAGAAGAGCGAGAATAGCCTCGAGGTTAAGGGTGCCGACTCCCTTAACAGCGTCCCTTTCCTCGGCTGGGATGGCTCTCAGCATGGCCCTTGCCATTTGAACCAAGTCTGGTTCTTCAGGGGCGCCTGCTAAAATCAGTAAAGTTAGCCGACTGTTCTCAAGAGGAGGCGGCACATAAAAAACGAGGTTGGCAAAGTTTAGCCCTTACCTTTGGTGGCCTCTTTAGGAGCACGATTGCTGTCAGGAGTAGTCGGCATCCGTCCCCCAATTAAGGGGGTCCTTCCTTGTCTTTCACTGGCTTGCCGCCTAACATTGCCAGGAGAAGCCACGTCTCCAGCCGCCTGCTTTCTGATTTTGGGATCCGGCTGGGATGAGGAGGAAGGTCGAGGACCGGCTCCCTACAAAGTGCAGCACAAACAATTAGCCCCAAACAGGCGGCAGGAAATAAAAGAGTTCGAGCTAAAAATTGAACAACGCTCACTTTAGACGCTTGTTTGGCAGGCGACTCCTCGGCAGTCCGCTTGCCCAGAACAGCGGCGCGAAGATGGGCGGCTGCTTTCTTAGATGCCGAGATCTTGTCCATAGCTTTGTCTGCAAAAAACGATCACAATAGACAAAAAATATACAAAAATATTACAAGTATAGCAGGGTACGTAAAGCAAGCGGCCAGCTACCTCTCGGCATCTCGGCACTAAGGCCACAGGCGGCCAAGTATACCCCATCGTACAACGACTTGTACTTTGGGATATAAAATTTAGGGATGAACTCCCTTACCCCTGTTTCAAGGTCTGCTTGGATATAAACCTTGAAGAGTCCTCGGTCTAGGATCTCTTCCCTGGCTTTTTGAGGAACAGGCGGCAGGTCCGAGCTGCCGCCTGTTAGGTAAGGTGGGTTCCGGTTCCACCTATTGAACTTTTTGTTTTGGATTTTGTTGGGACTAGAGACTATGAAGAAGGTATTGCGCCAGTCTTTCCATTTATTTTCCTTCCCCATAGTCATCATGTAGCCTTTGTGACTATTAATCTGGTACCAGCCGGTACCGCTTGATTTTGGGGTCCTGCTCAAATAATTCATATGGGCGAACGCCTCAAAACTGGCGTCCACCCCATTCATTTCACGGGCGGCTACATAACCCAATATATTAAACCAGGAGTTGGGAGCAAGCTGCTAGAGGCCCAGTTGGTAGCCGTCTAAAATCCTCTCTACAGCCGGATGTAGAGGAAACCTTAAACCAGCTTTGATGGCTGCCTCATAGCAACCAAAACACTCGTCCCCGTAGCTTGCCGCCTCTGGCCAGACGACTGTATCTTCGGGATCCGGCACCGAGAGAATGTAGTCGCCGCCCATAAGATAGTCGGCCCTGATGCTTGCAAGCTTATCAAGCATAGTCTTACGCCTGCCCGTTGGTACGTGGCAGTAATAGGCGGTATGCGACTCTCTACGGGAGGCAGCCGGATCTGCCCAGTTGTCCCCCTTTTCATCTGCATGGCTTGTTCTCGCCTCATGAAGGCGAGAGTGCTTTTCCTCGGAGTCGGCAGAAATCCGACTGGAGGTGCTGGTTTCTGAATCACTTGAGCTCTCGGCCAGACCAGCCGCCTGCCCAGACAAGTCAATTGATAAAGGCTCGTTCTCAACCTCCTCCCCGGATTCTCTCAAAATGGAATCACTGGGGGTGCTAGGAGTTCCATGCGGTAGGTCCGAGAGCTCCTCCCGAGAGAAAAAGGAGCCGTCTGAATTTGAATACTTTGCTGTTCTTTTAGTTCTGGCCATAGTGTCTTGCACAGACACAGAGATAGTCGGACTCCTAGTTCGCAATGGGTGGTCCAGCAAGGGGCAGTCGGCATTCCTAGTTCTAGATTCAGCCGTCCCCGGTGACCGGCTGATCACTAACCTAGGCCGTGTCGAGTGCTTTGGGGCTACCATTTTCGAAAAAAAGAAGGAAAAAATACAAGGAAAAAGTGTAAGAAAACAGGCGGTTACCTTGTGAAAAATCTGGAACGTCTGAAAAGTTAAAAAAGCAGTCGGCCTGTAGATCACTCGGTCTATAAAGCAGCCGTTCTCAAGAACAATCGGATGTCTTAACAGTCAGAGTAGGCGTCCTGTTTTTGATTGTCTGAAAAGTTCGTTAATCATTTGAAATGATTTGGACATCCCCTATTTATAAGGGGGTGAATTCCAAGGGTCATGGTAAAAAAAAAAAAAAGAAAGAAAAAAAACGGTATAAAACCGTTAGCCAATCAGAAAGTGACATCTGTCACAGGCGCCACGTGGCACGCCACGTCACCCCTGTGAGGGGCAAATGATTAGGGGATTTTTTCCCGCCACGTGAACCAATCATGTGTGCCACGTGTCCGCCACGTGGACCAATCAGAGTCCGCCATGTGTCACCTCATAAGAGGCCCAAAGTGGATCTATCAGGCCACAACACGTGGCAGACAGAAAGGCCTGTTAGGAAAAGCAGCCTGCAACGGCCCAATTTCCCAAGCAAGCCCAATCAGTCCTAGGTTTCCCAGGAACCTAGTACTTGGCATAGTGTTCTAGACTATAAATAAGGTGTTTCCCCCTAAGGAAACACCCATTTAAAAAAATATTCAAACACATTCAGAGAGCTTCACATCAACCCTGATTGACTCTCACACCTACTCTTACTCTCAAAGCAGAGAATTAGTCAGACACCTGACACCCCAACACTGAGCAATTCATATTGCAGATCCTCTCTTGGACCTCAAGAGAGACTTTACTTTCCGCACTTAAACTCCTCATACACGTTCTAACTTGATTGTCGGAGGCGGAGCTCCCACCAACAAGAGTCTCCGTTATTTTGCAGGTACAGGCGTCCAGAGGTCAGTCTTGGATTTGTAACTCCCTCGCAGGACATCAAAAAACCCCGAAACAATTATAACCCTCAAATTATCGACTTGCCGACTTGAACTCGAAAATGACCCGAACTCGAGAATAACCCGACCTGATTATAACCAGCAAATTATTGACTTGAAACGAACCCGACTTGAACCTGAGAATGACCCAACTTGGAAATGACCCGACCTGATTATAACCCGCAAATTATTGATTTGAACCGAACCCGACTCGCACCCGAGAATGACCCGACTTGATTATAACCCGCAAATTATTGACTTGAACCAAACCCGACTCGAACCCGAGAATGACCTTAACTCGTTTTAACCCGTGAAAACCCGAATTAAACCCGACCTATTATTCATCCGACCCGAATGTAACCCGACGTTTTATTGACTTAACCCAAACCCGATGAGATGTACGACCTGACGTGACCTGAGTCAAGCATGAACTAACCCGAATCAAACCCGCATAGGTTACGGCGTTAACCAGATAAGACCCACCCGAATTGACCCACCCGAACCCGACTCGTTTACCGAATTGACAGCTCTATTCAAGACCCACAAAATGGGTGGGTTTCGGGTTGGGTCGAAAATTCACTGGTCTACTGCATGACTCATGAGGAAGTTCTACTAATTTTTTTTATTTTTTTATTTTATTTATTTAAAATCCAGTCATTTTCTTCAACCGTTAAACCCTACCACCCAAACCCCTACAATCGGAAAGATAACACTCTTCTCAACTCTATCACCACCTATTCCTGCTACTCAACCTTCAAATCACTTCATCAATGGCGTCCTTCATCGCAGTTCGTCCTCCTCTTCCATTTTATCTCTCCTCTCTCCTCAAAGTACGTTCCCAATTCAACCCATCTTCTCTCCCACCCTTAAACCCTTTCCCCAAAACCCTAAACTCTCCTCTTCTCTCTCGTTCTCTGTCTACCTTCGCCGCCCCCAACGACTACCCTCGTCAGCCTCAACCCGAAAACCACTATCAAGGCTGGTACCCTCCACCTCACGCCGCCGGAAGTGCTCCTCCTTCGCCCATAAACCCTAATTTTACCCCCAATTATCGCCCGCAACAACCACCGCAGCAGCCGCAGCAACAGCAACATGACCAGTGGAATCAGCAAAATCAAGGATACCCAGTTCGTAGAAACCCTAATCATGGATACCCGCAAGGTCAATTTCCCGATCAAAGATATGTACGTCAACAACAGCCGTCGCAAGCGCCTCCGAGGAACCCTAATCAGCGGAACAATCAAGTCCCAAATCAGGGCCCGTTGTCGTTGCAGAATGGCCCGGTAGAGGCCCTGAATGTGGACTTGAGGAGTATGGCTATGGAGGGGAAGGTGAAGGAGATAATTGAATTCATGGAGAAAGGAGCTAAGGCTGATGGGGAGTGTTTTTATGTGTTGTTTGATAAATGTGGGAACCCTAAGTTGCTGGAGAATGCGAAAAAAGTGCATGATTTCTTTCTTAGGTCTACGCTTAGGGGTGATCTTAGATTGATCAATAAGGTAATTGGAATGTATGCGAAATGTGGGAGTATGGTGGATGCACGCCGGGTATTCGATCATATGCCTGAACGAAGTATTGATTCTTGGCATTTGATGATTAGAGGGTATGCTAGTAACTCACTTGGGGATGAGGGGTTGCAGTTGTTTGAGAAGATGAAGGAGCTGGGATTGAGGCCGAATAGCGAGACGTTTATGGCGGTTTTGTATGCGTGTGCTGGGGCTGAGGCTGTAGAAGAAGGGTTTATCTATTTGGAAAAGATGAGAACAGAGTATGGTATTGAGCCGCAGTTGGAGCATTATTTGTTGGTTCTGGATGTGCTTGGAGCTTCCGGGCATCTTATTGAAGCTCGGGAGTATATCGAAAAGTTGCCAATGCAGCCGAATGTGGCTGCTTGGGAGTCATTGAGGAATTATGCTAGGTATCATGGGGATTTGGATCTTGAGGACCATATAAATGAGTTGATAGTTGATCTTGATCCATCAAAGGCTGTTGCTGACAAACTCCCAACTCCACCTCCAAAAAAGCGAATGGCAGAGAATCTTATGGAAGGAAGGAATAAACTTCCCGAGTTTAAGAATCCGTCTCTTTACAAAGATGATGAGAAATACAAGTCTGCTCTTAAGGAACAAGGTTATGTGCCGGACACTAGATATGTTCTTCATGACATTGATCAGGAAGCTAAGGAGCAGGCCCTGCTTTACCACAGTGAGAGGTTAGCTATAGCTTATGGCTTGATCAGTACCCCGCCAAGGACGCCCCTCAGGATTATTAAGAACCTTCGAATTTGTGGTGATTGTCACAATGCTATTAAGATCATGTCCAAGATTGTTGGGAGGGAGTTGATTGTTAGGGACAACAAGCGGTTCCATCATTTCAAGGATGGAAAGTGTTCATGTGGGGACTACTGGTGAAGATTTAGTTGCTTGGTACTTCCATATCATGAAGTTTTCAGTAAGTTTGTATTGTGAATCGCTTATTGGAAATTAGCAAGTCTTAGCGTCATACCTGGATTGAACTTGTGGAGTTAGGGGATGCACATTGACACTTAGTCACTAAGAAAAAACTAGGCACTAGTGTTGTGTACTGATAAGGAGTTAACTGATCTTGGCACTAGGCAAGTTATCATATACTTCAGAGTTTGAGTATGCTGCTGATGCTGTTCTAGTATCACTTTGCCTTTGTGTCATACTCTCTTCAATATGTTTTATCAATTGGTTTTTGGAAATATATCAGTATAATTGAACTTTCTGAAGATCTGTTAGCCCTTATTCCTTAAGCTATATATACATTAGTCTTGTTTTGTGCTAA